GCCTTTAAACAGTCCAGAGGGATCCAAGGCCACAATGCATTTATGAGAAATGGCTAGTTCACTGGCGATTTATGGAGAGGTGGGGAGAAGACTCCTTTGACCAGAATTTTTCTTTTCTTGGCTGTTGCAGAGCCCAGCAGAAATTTCATCACGATGTCCTTGTTCCTGCTTCATCCTTTTTCCAATCCAGCCACCTATCTCTCCCCACCACAAGTCTCACAGCCCATAAAGGAATCCCTCCTATCATCCTCAGTGATTCATCTCCCAAACCTGATCTACACACACGACTTTTTAAAAAGTCCGATATTTATGCAAACAGGGATCAGTTATTCCTTCTGCACATTCTTGGGTGGCTCATTAATCCTTAAACGCCTTCAACTCAATGCCATGGACTAAGAATGAGCACTTATGGACTAAGCCTCTCACTGCTGCTCATTATAAAACCACTGCCGCTTCCTACATCCCTTAAAACAAGTGCAAATTTGTCCCAAGCCAATAAATTATTATAAAATTAGCTCCAAAGCAGTGATGCTCCTGGGTTGCTGAGTAAATGCAAATGCCAAACCACTCTGTGGGGGCTATTTCCCAACTCAGACCACACATCACACAAAATTTCTATAAGGAAAAAAAAATCTCACCGCAAATGACCCCATGGTCAGATATCATTAAACATCCAGGAAAATAATCTACCACGAACAAGAGCAAGCAGACACAAAACACTGGGAGGGTCAGCATTCTCAAAACTTGATCTAAAAGAACAATTGGAAAAAGACTATAAAACAAATATATTTAAAATAATTAAGGAGACCAAAAAGAAATATATATATATATAAATCATAAGGAAATACCAATACAAATAAGACAGATAGCTTTGAACTATACTAATAACTTTTAAAAATTAGCAAAATCCATAGAGTCATTAAATTTTGCAATATAAAGGGTGAGTTAGACATCAGAATCAGAGTAGCAGAACTAGAGAGCGACTAAGTGAACAGAAAGACAAACCCGAGGAAGTCACCAGGATGTGGCACAGATGAATGAAGCACTAGAAACTGTGAAAGAGAAGTTAAGAGACAAGGAGGCCAGAAACAAAAATGTCTAACATATGTATAAGAGAAGTTATAGGGAAAAGAATGGAGAAAATATGGGTATGAAATATTGGGAACATTTTTGCCTGAGAATTTTTCAGAATTAAAGAAAAACCTTAATCTTTAAAAGAAATAGCATTTCCACACAGATAAATGAAAATTAACCCATACTTAGACATTTTATGGTGGACATGCAGAACAGCAACGAAGAGAGAACATATTAAACACAACTAGAGACAAAAACCAAATACCTAGAAAGAGATGACAATCAGACTGATGGAGAATTTCCAATAGTAAGAGAAGCCAGAGACAGAAGCATGGTATCTTCAAAGTGCTAAGAGGAAACAACTATGAATTTAAAATCCTCTTTATAGCTAAACTATAATTCAAGAGCAAGAGTCAATTAAGACATTACAAACTTAGGGATTTTCTTACTCATGGGACCATCCCCAAAGTAACACTGAAGGATGTTATTCAGGAAAAAGGGGATTAAATCAACAAAGATGAATGAAATGCAAGAAGCAGTGGTGAGCCAAGAAGCACATAAACTTGTGGGTAAATATAAATAAGCACTGACTTATTTACAAATAATGACTAAAATAATAATGACCACTGGGGGGAGGTGGTACAAAAATACTGGTCAACAATACATGGAAGATCCAAGAGGATGATGGACACTAAAACATCCTAGGATCCTTATTTTGTTCTTTTGGAAAATAGAAACATTCATCAGCTTTAGAATTTGTTAAATCATAGGTCGATGTTAAAATATAAGGGTAATGGTGAGGAGTACTGTGCTCATGGAATCTATTGGCAGATTCAACTTAGTGAATACGTCGATTCTCTCCAAATGGATCTATGAATTTAATGCAATTCTTATGAACATTCCAGAGGATTTTTTAAAGCTATAGATAGGCTGATTTTAAAATCTCTATAAAAAGGCAAATGAGTAAGAATAGACAGAACGGTTTTATAAAAGAAGAAAAATTTGAAGGAATCACACTACTTAATTTTAAAGCTTAACTATGAAGCTGCAGTAATAAAGACAGTGTGATATTGGCAAAGGACTAGACACAAAGATCAATGGAACAGAATAGAAAATCTAGAAACAGACGCACACAAATATAGTCAATTAATTTTTTATAATGGTGCAAAAACAATTTAATGGAGAAGAGACGATCTTTTCAACAAATGATGCTAAAAAAACTTAAAACCTATATGCAAAAAATAAAGAGAAAGAACCTTCTAGAAAACCAACTCAAATGGATCATAGATCTAAATGGAAAAATATAAAATCTTTAGAAAAACACATAAGAAAAGATCTTCCTGACCCAAGATTGGGAAAAACATTCTTATGTGGCACTAGACGCATAATCCATAAAATAAAAAAAAATAAATAAATAAACTGAATTTCATCAAGATTAAAAATTTTTGCTTTGCAAGTGACACTGTTAAAAGAATGTAAAAGAGAAGCTAAAGACTGGGAGTAAATATTTGCAAATTTTGTAGCCAACAAAGAATTTGTTTCTAGAAGTTATAAAGAACTCTCAAATTCAACAGTAAGAAGACAAATAACCCAATTGAAAAATGGACACAAGTTTTGAACAGACACTTCACTAAGAAGAATATATGGATGAGTGATAAGCACATGAAAAGATAAGATGTTCAATATCGTAAACCTCTATTTACACAAAAATTCGTACACAAATATGTACAGCAGCCCTATTCATGATAGCTATAAACTGGAAACAACCCAGATGTCTTTCAACAGATGAGTGGATAAACTGTAGCACATCCATACAATGGAATACCACTCGGCCATAAAAAGAAATAAACTAGTGATATATGCACCAACTTGGATGATTTCAAAGGTGTGTGCTGCACGGAAGAATCCAGTCTCAAAATGTTATATACTCTATGTTTCCATTTTTATGATATTCTCAAAACCACAAAACTATAACGATGGAAAATGGATCAGCGGTTGCAGGGACTGGGGAGAGTATGATAATAACAACAGCATGACAAAGTTTTTGGAGTGTTTTGTATCCTGATTGTGGTGGTTACACAAATCTATAAATGTGTTCAAATTTATAGAACCGTGTTATTCTAATGAACATTCCAGAAGGATTTTTCTAAGCTACAGATAAGCTGATTTTAAAATCTCTATAAAAAGGCAAATGAGTAAGAATAGAGAGAACAGTTTTATAAAAGAAGAAAAAATTGGAAGAATCGCACTCCTTAATTTTAAGGCTTAACTATGAAGCTGCAGTAATAAAGACAGCGTGATACAAAAGGTCAATTTTACTTTCTAACCATGTTTTTGATGTTTCAACATAAGGATAACTAATCATGTATAACTTCCAAACCAGTAGGAAGTAAAAATAGGACTAAAGAAATAGGATACAACTTTAGAAGGAGGAAAAGTATACGGATGAGGAATGAGCTTAAGCACACCAGCTATGGGACGGTCGCTACCTCTGGGGACAGAGAGGAGCCAAGAGGGAGTTAATGTCTTATTTCTTTTTTAAAAGACAACCCAAGCATCCATCAATAGGCAAATGGATAAATCAAATATGGCATACCCATAAAATGGCATATTTTTTAGCCATAAAGAAATGAAGTTCAGATATAGGCTACAACATGAACAACCTTTGGAAAACATAATGCTACGTGAAATAAGCCAGATAAAAAAGGACAAATTTTGGATGATTCCATTTACATGGACTATCTAGAACTGCTAAATTCATAGAGACAGCAAGTAAATCAGAAGTTACCAGGGGCTGGGGGAAGGGAGAACGGGGAGGGATTGCTTGATGGGTTTCTGTTTGGGGTTGGCGAAAAAATTTTGGAAATAGTGGTGATAGTTGCATATCATCATGAATGTAATTAATACCACCGAGTTGTATACTTACATTGGTTAAAATGGCAAAATTTATGTTATAAATATTTTACCACAATTCAAAATAATATACCCAAACCATTTAATCGTACACTTTAAATGGGTGAACCATATGGTATGCGAACTGTGGTCTCAATAAGGCTGTTAAAAGAGAAGAAATAAAGAGGTATCTGAAGGAAAACTGCTAAATCTTAATGGTCAGTATGTAGGTGTCTGTTATTTTCTTTACTTTGCTATATTTTGAATTTTTCATATGAGAAAGTAAAATAATTGAAATTTTACAGAGCAATTCAGTGATATTTTGTGCCTATGAATCATGTAAAATCCTCACATATCTCTCTCTGCCACAGGGCGTATCACTAAGAACCAGAGGCTCTGTGTCACAGAAGAGCCACCTGTCTAAGAATCAGGAGACCTGGGTCTGTTCCTCCCGAACTGACTGATGTCCTTGGGAAGTTACTGGACATCTTTGAGAGCCACATTCTCATCTTAGACCTCTTCTCTCTCATTCACAGGTGTCCAGGGGAATCAAATGAGATCATGGTGTAAGTTCATTGTAGCATAGGAATGGTAGACAAATGTAAAAATGTCAGGGTTTAAACATGGGGAAAATCCACGCATCTCATCATGGTCAATGCTTTGACCTTCCTCCTACCAAGCCTATCACAGGCACCGCTCACGAGTGTTCCCACTCATGTGCAGTGGATTGCTCCTGCCTTGAAGCACAGGGAATCACAGAGGATCACAGGGGAGGTGAGCCCCCAGCTGCACGCTCTGTTCTCAGCGAGCCAGAGTGGGGGTAGCTGCTCCACAGAGCCATATATCATTCTGCATGTTCTGACTTTCAGATATGCTTTGGGGAGACACAAAACAATGAAAGCCAAGGAAGCTTTCTGGTGGGAGAGGACAGCATGGCCCAGAGTGGTATCTATTGCTCCGAAGCATCACCACCAACTTTGTGAGATGCTCTCTCATTCTTTATCCCCTCGGAGCAGAGGTTGGAGGCCACTTACCATTGCTGGCCAAGGTGTACTGGTAGGGCTCTGACAGGAAGTGTGGAAGGGTGAGGACGAAGGCACCTGAAGCTAGGAGGAGACCCCCAACACCAATCAGCCGCGGACGGTGCACCCGGCTGCCCAAGTAGCTGACGAAGATGATGAGGATGGCGTTGCTGATCTGCAGAGAGCAGAGGGGCTGAGTGAGACCAGAGGCTGTGTGTTCACCCACCCACAGTGGAGGCCTGAGCTGACTGGACCTCGTCCAGGAGACGCAGAGAGGCAAGGGGCTGCCCAGGGTCAGCTGGGGCTCAGCCTTGCCCGAGAGCCTCACAGAGGGCCAAGCATAGGCAGTTTCAGCTTTCCCGCATTGCCAGAAACGCTTCTCTGTCTCGGTCTTCGAGGCTAGATCAAGGGAAGTATCTAGAGACGACGAAAAATTCATAGCCTTAATTTAAACCATCTTAGGATCAAACCTTTCACGGCAAAATTCAAGGATGCCTCTCAATTCTGCTTGACTTCCAGGAATAACACATGTTCCCTAACTAAACTCTCTAAGGACTTGGGCTTGGTAGGCAAAATAACCACCAAGCAACATGTACTGTCTCACTTTATCATGCAACAACTCTCATTTTTCAGATGACAAAAACTGGAGCTTGGAATAGTAAGTAACTTGCCCATGTCCATCAGGTTAGGAGGCAGCTTGAACGGGGCCTGCCTGTGTCTTAACTAGGCTGGTCTACTGCCGCTTGGAGAAGTGTGTTTCTGCTCCAGCAGCTCTGCTGCTAGCCTGCCCCAGTCCTCCTTGGGTCTGCTTTCACTTCTTTCAATGAGGAACGAGGACAAAAGCAGCCCTAAATCCCTTCCCAGCTGGACACATCAGTAACTCCTTGTTCCTGGTGCTCTTTGGAAGGTGTGTTTTCTGAGCCCCTCCCAGAGCCAATGAAGGGAACCAAAGGCCCCAGCTTGGAGAGCAGGGTCTTAAATGGTAAAACGGGGTGCTGACAGATCTTCTGACCATGACTCCATCCGAAGAGATGACCCTCTGCCCCAGAACATAAGTTCACCTGGAGGAGCCTTGAATGTCGGCACCCATAGCATCCATCCTATCCACACTACAGTCTTCTGGCTGGAAAAGCAAGCGCCCTTGTCTCAGGAAATAGGGGTCAAGGTCTTGGTACGTGGCTCTTGCCAAGATCACCAACAACTTCATCATTGCCAAATCCCCTGGACTGTTCTCAATTCTGTTCTTACTTGATCTCTCAGCACCTTTAGATTCAGTCGACCATTTCTTCCTTCCTGCAACACTTCTTGCACTGTGTCTCCATGACCACCTTCTCCTGGTTTTCTTCCCCCTGCTATTCCTTCTCAGTCTCCTTTGCTGGTTCCTCCTCGCTTCCCTGAACGCTCAACTCTGAGCCCAGTTCCTGCACCTCTGCAATTGTCTCAATAAGCTCATCCAGTCCTGCGGCTCTTACATGCTCTGTATATGCTTCTAATTTCCACAGGTTTAGCATGCCTCAAATCTCATGCCTCATCTTCACCCAGAAACCTAGTCTCCCCTCCCCAGACCTCCTCATCTCAGTAAATGGCACCTCCATCTCACTAGTGGCTCGAGCAAGACATCTGAGCATCAACCTTGACTGCTCTTTTACACTTAAACCCGCCAGACCTTCAATAGCCACCCAGAAGCCAACCACTTCCCACCACCTCCACTGCTATCACCTAAGCCGCCTTCATATCCTGTCTGAATTACTGGGCTCCCAGCTTTCACTCTTGCCTCCTGACAGTCTCTTTTCCACCCGGCAGCCAGAGCGACCCTTTCGAATGCCAGACCATGTTCCTTTTGCTGAAACTCACAATAGTAAAAGGCAAAGTCTGTCCCAGAGCCCACAGAGCCCTGTGGAGCCTGTCCCTGCCCCCCCTTCCTTGTTACCACTCTTATCTGCTCTCCCGCCTCTCCCCATCTCCCTCCCTCCACTCCGGCTACCCTGCCTCCAGCTGTTCTTTGATCGTGGCACAGGCAGTTGCCCTCCTCAAGCCTTTGTACTTGCTGCTCCCTCTGTCTTACACATCCACAGGCTCCCTTCTCATCTAACCTACGTTAGATCTCTGCTCAGATCGAATCTTCTCATTAAGGCCTCCTGTGAAAAAGGAAGGAGATGAGGATGGGTAAAATGGGTAAAGGGGGTCAAAGGTACAAACTTCCAGTTATAAAATAAATAAGTCATGGGGATAGAATGTACAGAATGATGCCTCTAGTTAATAAAGCTGTACTGCATATTTGAAAGTTGCTAAGAGTGTAGAGATTAAAAGTTCTCATCACAAGAAAAATTATTTGTAACCACGTGTGGTGCCGGATGTTGGTGCCGGATGTTAATTAGACTTGTGCCGGATGTTAATTAGACTTATTGTGGCGATCATTTTGCAACATATACAAATATAGAATCATTATGTTGTTACACTGAAACTAATAAAATGTTAAATGTCAAGTATATCTCAGTAAAAAAAGAATGATTGAAATATAACATTTATAATAATTAATAGTAATAATTAAGTTATATTTTAAATACAAAGTATAATTTCGATATTTAATCATTTGAATTATATTTAAATGTACTTCTAATTTTAAAATTAGTTACTTAAAATATAACCACCACTCCCATCCGTGACTTTGTTTTTCTTCATAGCCCTTATCATAATCTGATATACCATGTTTTATTTATTCCTATAAATAAATGTCGTATTTATCATTAGAATGATATATGAGCAGAGACTTTTTTCCCGTCTGTTCATTTATGTTTCCCTAGCACCTAGAACAGTATCTGACACATAGGTGGTACTCATTAAATGTTTGCTGGATAAGAGAAGGAATGAACTAGGAAACAGTAGACTTTCCCAAGAAGAGAACGTCATTGGGCAGGCGACCCCTCCTGCGTGGCCAAGATGGTTATGATGCTTAGAGAAAGGGGGTGTGAAGGTGTGTGAGGTGGCAGCCTCTCCTGATTCAGGAATTTGCTCCAGCCCCTGGCCAGACATGGTTCTAGGACATTCTGAAACTTGTACCTGGAAAAAGGAAACAAAGCTTTTTTCTTAAGCCTCTTAGATTTTATTTCCTTTTTGTTTCCCCATAGTTTTTATGAAATGATTGCAAATATTGGACCTTATAGGCTAAGCTGACTTTAAAAGGTCTGGGTAAGAGATGGGGGACAGAGGGATTCAGGGAGGAAGGACTGGGGTCCCCGCCCATCTGGAGAGGCTCTCCCAGTTCTCTCTCAGAGCCTGCGTTTGTTTCTCGAGGGGAGAGGGGACCTCCAGAGCTGTTAAGGATGATGCTGGCTTAACATCTTGGCTCCCAAACTTTTCTTCAGCAGTGGAATCCCTTTGAAAAGACAATTTTTCTTTAATATATACATTTTTAACTAAAGCTGTTCTAGCTGATGAAGCCTCTGCATTCCAGACCTCAGCTCCTTAGCCCTGAAGTAGTTCCTAAAACGGCTCTGTGGACTTCTCGTTAGACCATCTCAAAGTTGTCACAAAGCTCATTGGTAACACATCCCTGCCCATCAATGTCTCAAACCAAAGAGGCCCCAGGGCAATCTGGTAGGAGGCAGTAAGGGTGGGATATCTCTAGGGTTTCCACTGACTGTGTCTGCTCGGCCCTGGACTTTAAGAATGAGCAAGAGAAGCCGCTGCTTCACAGGGAGCGATGAATGTCTTCTGTCAGCCAAGCTCCTCCAGCTGCTGCTGGTCTTTCACACCCAGCTCTACTCTTCTCTCCACCTCAGCAGCTGGGCCCCCATAAGGCTTCGAGTCTGGGCTGCACAAGATTCACACCCCCTGGAGGCTGGCCGCACACTGGATGCCCAGAGGACCCATCTCCCCTTCCATCAGGCCTGGTTCTCCTCTCTCATCCCTCAGGCTTCTGACAGGCAGCTTCCTGGTGGTCTGTGCTGCCTTCAATCCTACACTCAAGCAGTTGCCAAATCCTGACTTTTCTTTTTTTGAAGTGTTGCTGGGGTCCTTTTCTTCCCCAACCTCTCAAGCCTGGCTTAGTGGCACAGCCTTTTAGTCAGCCAATTTCTGGATAAACTGTCCCCTAACTGTGCTGGCTCCCAGTCCCCTCTTCATCTTCACGAGAGTTCATCTTCATGACACTGTTCATCCTGCCCCAGCTCTGCTCAAGAAGCCATTGCCTACCACAAAAGCTGGGAGCCTCGAGCTTGACCATGAAGGTTCCCTTGATTTAGCTGCCATCTGCTATCCTGGTAAGACCCCTAGTTTACCACTCAGTCAGTTTCTAAATGCTTGGGGAAGAATCAATAGGAAAGTAGAAAGCCTTTTGGCCAAGTTCCTGTCCTGTCTTCTCTACATACTCCCCCCTACCACCACAGACACAGACATGCACACAGACACAGATGTACACACACACAGATCAGAGATATACACTCATAGTCATACACACAAACACAAATACTCAGACACACACAGGCCCAGATACACAGACAGACACATACAGGATTGTTAGGTCCCAGGAAGGAACTTTCTTATGATATCTGTCTCAAACCACACCTACAGGCATTGTTTAAAACCAGATTGTTGAAAAGCTCGCCTAAGTTTAGGGAAGAGAAGATGTAATCCCAAGGTGAATTACTTTCATTTTTTATTGAACTCTATAGCCTGGGGAAGTATTATGCCCCCTTATTTGCCCAATCAACCTCCTGTCGTGTATTCTGCCACATATCCCAACTGGCTATTCTCTGGCCCTTGAAAAATCCAATTGTTCCTGGGCCCCCATTTCCAAGCCTAGGAAAAATATAAATGAAAATTTAACCATGGAAGATCATAGATTTGGCTATCATCTAAGCTGTGGTGGAGGAGAAGATTACCTTACAGCTTTCACATTGATCAGTAGAGGTGCCTAGAACACTGTGTTGAAGGATTCAGATTTTTTTTGCAGGAAAGAGGGCTGTGGTTGATTAGCAATGTCATGGGATGGGACTGTGGTGACACAAATGTCAGAGATTTGTTTTCCCTGTGTCCTTCGTGAGTAAGGACTACATGTGGCAGGGGCCTTATCAAAATCATAGGCCAACATTTAGGAGGGTGCATTCTTTGTGAGGGGCGCCAGGTCCCTGTCTTGTAGGAGAGCATGACCTACATGGAAAGGTAGACCCAGTCACTAGACACACACTCAGATAGAGACACACGTGCGTTCACACACACACACAGACATACAGATAAACACACATACGCACACGGACACACAGAAAGCATTGAAGGCACACATGTGGGCCTGGAAGTTCAGAGGAGACGGTCTGAGGCCCATGAGGCCAGCAAGATGGGCCACAGGGCTATATGTGTGCAGGTACGTGCATATCACAGGTGTGGGGGAATAGCCTACAGCGAGGAGTGTGTGCAGAGAGGGGCACTAAGTAGAAATTCCAGCTATGTGTTTGAAAGACAAGATTTGTGGATACAGAACTGGTGAGGGGTGGTAGGAAAGGTGGGTTGGGGATTCAGAGGGAGGTCTTAGCATGGCAGCTGTCAGACAGACCCGGGCTCAGATGCACGTGGCCAACCTAGGATGGGCCACTTAGGCTTCCGGAGGCAAGTTCTGCCAAGTTCCTGTCCTGTCTTCTCTACATACTCCCCGCTACCACCACAGACACAGACATACACACAGACACGTGGCCAACCCAGGATGGGCCACTTAGGTTTCCGGAGGCGAGTTCCCTTGTCTGGAAAACGTGACTGTGAAGAGACCCCTCTCCTAGGGCTACAGGGTGGGTCTGGCACAAGGGAGGGGATCCTGAGGGGCACCGCTGTGTGGGCCATCGAGGGTCGAGGAGGAGTGAAGGGCAAAGGGGCGATACCAACTAGGAGCAGGCTGGGGGATGGGGAAACTGAAAGGTGGTGGTTGGAGGGGTGGTGTAAGGAGACATCCCTCCTTCTTTTACAGCTCCATCTCAGAAGCTATCTTGGGCAAGCCCCAGTCTCTAAATTAGCATGGACCTGAAGTTCGCTAAGTCAAGAGAAGATCGAATCACACTGCAGAGGAACTGGGCTCCCCGGATGGGGAGGCCACTGCCTTCATCCCAGAACAGTGAGTCTCATGGAAAGAGAAGAGAGAAGCCAGGCCTGGGAGCCCCACTTCCTTGCCTGGAGCCACCAACGCCGCAGCCATGATGGAAGTCTCTGCTCCCTCCCCTGCCACTTTGTCACTGGCTTCCAGTGATTTCTAGCTGACCTGCCCTTGACCTCCCCCCACCAGCCTCTCGGCCTACCCTATCTTCTCTCACTTTGAAGTGCAGTCACTGAGGGTCAGTGTGAAATCCACATTACTGGAAGGGCACAGAGATCTGATCTTTCTGGGAGTCAGAGTCATTGAGCAGCTCTGGGTCCTGTGATGCTCATAAGGCAAGAGCTGCTGGGCAGGGGCTGCATTCCTGGGGCTCAGACTCCTAGGACTGGAAATGGGCAGAGGCCACATAAACTCGTAGATGGTCACAGAACTCAGTTAGAGGCCCAGAGTTTGCGGGTGATGGCCCTGCACACCTCGGGCAAGCCACTGTGCTCACGGAGCCCCAGTGCCCTCCTGTGTCAGGTGGGAGGAGCAGGACACAGCTCGCAGTGCTGTTGCAAGGAGGCCTCGGGTCAGGTGGCACCAGAGGCTCTCAGCTCAGGGCCTGGTGCAGGGATGCCTCGGGAAAGTAGCTGCTTCCACCACGCCCGTTGCATCTGGCTGTCTCATTTCCCCATGTGTCCGTCCCAGCTCCCCATTCCTCTGTCCCTCCTGGAGCCTCCTCCCAGATTCCGTGGTCAGGGGTTGGGTCTGATGGACCAGAACCTCCTGCTTACCTCATTCAAGCTGGAAATGAGACCCGAGGAAGAACTGGAGAGGCCAAAGCGCTTCTCGATGGTGGTGAGGCTGCTTTTGAAGTAGGCGCTGTACAGGAGCTGGCAGAGCTGCAGAAGGCCGTGGCAGAGCACGAACACCTGCGGGAAGACACCTTAGCCCGTGAGGACCCTGGACGCTGAGCCCTGGCTGCCCACCTGGGCCTTCTATTATTTCCTGTCTGTTTCCTCACTTGTTACTTTATCAGGTGATCCATCCGAAGGATAAAATGCCATTGTTGTTATACCAGTGTCTCACCCTGGACTCACTCAGTGAGTCCCAGCCATTCCTATCATTCTTACCATTCTTACCATTCTTATCACTGCTGCCATAAATGGCCCCCAAAGCCACAGGGTCGGAGAAGCACCCCCAGGTAAAGGCCTGATTAATCAGCTGAGCCACTTGAATTGTTTTCTAATAGCATCCCAGTGCCCTGCAGGCTGCTGCTCTGTCCTCCCTCCTGTGTCCTAGGAGGGCCGAAGTTCACTCTCCAGCCAACTCAGGTAACTCCCAAGGGTACTAACAAGCCCTAAGCCACCTTGCTCCACTCCCTTGGACTTGTTCTCCATTCCCCTGCCCCCAGCAACACCCATCCAGCAAGACTCACCTCTAATATCCCAATGACACACCATGAGGGGTTCCCAAACCACCCGGTGTGAATGAATGTCCCCAAGCTTATTATCACCTCTTACCAGGGGTATCTGTGGTTTGAATGAATGTCCCCAAGCTTAGTATCACCTCTTACCAGGGGTATCGGTGATTATGCTGGCTCCTCCCCTGATGGATGATAACAATAAACAGAGGGCCCAGGCCATTGTCTCTGCATCTCATTCTGCCCCATATAGCTTGTCCTATGGGTATGAGTAAATGTGAATTCTGTGGTTGATGGGGACAGATACACAGCAGGAAGGATGGAGAGGGATTTGTGGCATCTGAAACCTGCTCTAGGCTGAGCTCTGGGCCTTCCTATGTCCTCGGCTGTTGAGCTGGGCTGGGGCAGGCTCAGAGCCAGAAGTCCCACCTCCCCAGGTCCCCCAGAAGAGGCCCCTCCTGGAAATTGGACTTTTCCTCCAGGGAAGGGTGGGGGCTGTTACGCTTCAGAGTCTGCCAAAGTCTTTCTCTTAATTGAAGGGCTGGCATCTCAGGAGACCAACTGGGGCTCCACCTTTGTTTCTGTTTCTTACAAAGCTGATCCTGCCCCCTCTGAGAAGTGAGGTGGCCACGTGGGCTCAGGACAGGTGGCCATTCCAGGCTGTGGAATCAGAGCTGACATTCCTTCTTCTACCCGCCAGGGCAGAGCCTTTGTGAGGCCAGCCTGGGGCTCCTGACAGGGCCCAGTGCTGTCTGCTCATGCATCCATATTTGCAGCCTCTAAGTCCCAGGAGGGCATCACATCCGCAAAACCAGACACCTCTCCAAACTGCTCCCTGTCCTGGGCCCACATGGGCACCTTGCTCCTCACCAGTGGAAGGACACTTGTCCACCTGGAGGCAGAGGCAGCACCCCCTAGGGAGGCTTTACCTTTCTTTGTTTCATATGTTAGAATTCTTAATATTTCACGATAAAGGTATTTGTGAAAACGATTTAGTCTCACTCTCTTTTACGAACGGGGGAACGAAAGGCCGGAGAGGTGGAACCCGAGTGCCTCGCAGAGCAGCCTGCATGGAGCAGGCATTCTGGGCTTAGGTGTCACCCTCGAGATGCCCAAGTGGATAGTTCCGGATCTGCCTCTCACACCACAGAGCAACCTCAGCCGGTTCCTGCTCTTTCGGGTGGGCCCAGGGTTTCCCCAGCTGTGGGATAACTAGGCTGACTTGGTAGTTCTTAACTTAGCTTTGATTCATTATCACCTGCTATGTGAGTGTGGTGAGTTCTTTGTAATAAAGAGGCCAGGCCTGACTGAATCAAAATCGGTGGAAGTAAAGCCCCAAATGTGTTATTTGGATACACTCCTCCTGCAGGATCTGATGATCAAAGCAGGTTCCAATGAGACTAGAGGACGCGTTCTGGCTCTGACCATTTGTGTGCAGAGGGCAACGTGTGACGATTAGGAAAAGAAAATCAAGCCACAAACATTCTCTAATCTCTAGGAGTTTCCGCTAGAAGATAGAGAAGAAAACAGGAGCCGTGGACCAGCTTCAGAGGAAGTGGAAGGCGACTCGCTCAGGTCAGATGGTTTCTGTGGACACAGGGCATCAGAGCGCGCTCAAGCCCAGGGTCCCTGGTCCAGACCAGATCCAGGAAAGAGGGGATTTGGTCTCGGATGCCTTGCCAGATCTTCTTCTTCTGGCCATCCCTTAAAAGCTAGTGCCCCCAAACTCTGTTTATTGTCCCCTTCTCTGGACATGGCCCCCTTTCTGCCCACGTGCATTGGAAATCCCATTCGCGATGCTCACACCTCAGTCCCTCATCCAGAACTTTCCCCAGAGCTTCACATTCAAGTCCATTCCACTCTCTGCTGGATGTGTCCATGTGGGCGCTCTCAGACCCCTCAGACCAATCACTTCCTAAATGGGGTTCATTGTCCTCCCCCACAAACCTCTCCCATTTTTCTTCACGCCCATCACCTTCACTTAGTTCCCCGAACCAGAAACTGGGAATCCTAGATGCCCCGATTCCTTCACCCCTGGGATTTGGCACCACTGCTAAGCCCTGTGATTTCTTCTCGACCTGCCCTTCGCCTCCAGGTCGCGCCCTCCCTCAGGGCCCTCCTCTCTCCCCTGGATTCCTCAGCGGACTCTCACAGGTCTCCTCCCTGCCCCATCAAACCTCCCATCCCACCACTTCAAAAAGCGCTTTCTCAAACACACATGTGAGCAGGTGACACACAAATTAACATCTCTCACTGGCTCCCCACTTCTTATAAGATAAAAACCAATGTTCTTGACATGGTATCCAAAACGCTACAGGTCTTGCCTGACACTTTGGCTCCATATTTTGTTGTGGCCGATTGTATTTTACATAATGGCTATACCATTATCTCTTGTCCTATGCATAGCTCTTACAATATGACAATAAAAAAGGGGAGTCTCTGTTCTCTCCCCTTCGATATGGGACAGTCTTAGCTACTTACTTCTAATGAAGAGAGTGGGGCAGATGATGCCATGTGACCTCTGAGGCTAAGTCTTGAAAGTTTAAATAGAGACTCCACCTGACTCTTTCTCTCTTGGGACCCTTAGAACCAAGACGTCACATTGTAAGGAAGCCCAGTCCTTCCTACTCGTGGAGGGGACACAGACTGGTGTTCTAGCTGACAACTCCAGCTAAAGTTTCAGCCTGCCACCAATGTCATGTTACTGAGTGAGCCTTCGGAGAATTCCAGCCCCAGCCGTCAATACCAACTGGAGCAGACATGAGCTATCCCCACCAAGCCTTAGAAAGGTGGCAGATTCATGAGCAAACTAAATGCTGTCATTGTTAAGCGCTAAGTTGGGGGTTGCTTTGTTACACAGCACTAGAGAGCTGCAAAACCTGTTGCTGTACTCCTTGTCCTTCAAACTTTTCAAGGTCATACTACTTAAGTTCCCCACAGTACACATTCATTTCCTGTGTCTCTGCTCACATTCTGCAGAATGTGAAGAATCATCTTCCCTTTCTTTGTCGGGATAACTCCTCCTTGCCTTTCAGGGGCCCCCTTGCCCAGCATGGAGCTCAGTTATGTGTCTAGTTCCAGGTTGTTTCTAAAACCCCAGCACCCTGTTGCTGACCTCTGCACAGAGGCATCTTGGTAGGTTGACACATGGCTGGCATTAACTGGCAGCATCCGTCAGAGGAGTGAGGGCTGTCATCACAGCCTTGGGGAGAGACAATGAGGGCTGGACCAAATGCGGAGGCAGTGGGGGTTTGGGAAGGTTGAGTTGACAAGGCTGCTGCTGAATGGAGCTGGAAGAAAAGGGGCAGTGTTCCAGTCTGAGGGCCAGGAAGGGGGCGAGGTCATGTGTGGAGACAGGGAGCCCAGAAAGAGGAAAGTATTTGGAGAGGGAGGACAGTTTTAGAACACCTGAGTTTCTGAGCATAAAGCTCATAAAAGACCAGTCTCCCTTTAACAAATTAGTAATGAATTAACAGGAGTGACTAATCTCTCTACCAAATTCCTCAGCAGTCTCATGAGAGGAAGGTGAGGACGGCAGGAGAAAAAAAATCTGTCTCTGATCTTTTCCTGAAAGATATGCCTTTGCTCTTTCCAGTAAACACAGAAATTCCCCATTTTCTCCCCCCAGATACTAGGTGGAAGACTCCACCTAAAGTCAGCTGGCACCTTTCCACATCCCACATCCTTTCACAGAACCAGCACTACCACCAGCTTTGGGCTGCTGCAGCCCTGTCAGGTCTGGGTGCCTGTGGGTGCCCTGGCAGAAGTGCTGGCATATGTCTGGGCCGCCAGGTTCCAGTGGACTCGCCAGATGGAGAGGAATGAGATACATGGTTGCGAGGGAGGGGGCGGGAGAAAACGCCACGAAAAGAGAAAGAAGTAGATGGATGGGACCAGCAGAGCTTTCTGGCTAAAGCCACTCAGGGTCACAGCCATCTGGCACCACCTACTGAGCTATGTGGACAAGACCCTGAGACCATGACCCAGGCTGCTCAAACTTACCAAGTACCGCCCAGCATGGGGTTTAAGAGTACATGTAGATGGACTGGTGGGAGAAGGAAAAGCTTTGCCAGTTGCATTGCAAGCCACCTTCCACCATCATTTAGACAATATAGTGTTATAGGTTTTGATGGTTTGGGTTTAGAAGTCAAACGAGCCTAGGTTCAAATCCTGACTCTGTGAGGAATGGCCTGACCTTGGGCTACATATTTGACCTCTCTGACAGCGGTTTCCCCACTAGCAAATGGGAGCTATCCTTTTACCAACTGTGCCAAAGAGCCAAGAAAGGCTGAAAAGATGCTGATAACACCTGTTCACATTGCTGTCGTGAGGCTTCCATGAGAGAGTGTGTCCAAAGCACTTGGTACCCTGCCTGGCCCACATACTGAGGGATATTTATTAAGCTGTGGCTTCCTCCACTCCCTCCTCTTGACCAAGTCACTGAACCTAAAGAGGTTGCTTTCAATTCCCCTGTGGCATGAGAACTCTAGAAGAGAAGTCCCCACAGTGTGTTACGCAGAACACCACTGGCTCGAGATGCCCAAGCTGAAAGGATTCCCAGGAGAAAAAGTTTGGAAAACTGCATAGTATAATCTTCCCTTGTGAATATGTATAATTCACATTAGCATAATAAGGTTTTAAGATAATAATAATATCACAATAAACCTTCAGTAAAGACCTGCTTAATTTTGTTTTACCCAAATTCCTCCATACGTCTTTAACCGTGGAACACCCCCCAATACCTACACTTGTAAAAAGTTTTATTTAACAGGTATTAGTATTTTGCAAAATATACTTTAGGGAGGGTCACCTGTCCCTTTTTGAAAGCAGCTTATGGTAGAATCTGAGTCTTGTGGGGAAGAAAGAGAAAGAAAACAAAGATTTATAGATATACACATTTTTCATATGGGCTGTATTATCTTCTTTAAAATAGCACACTGCCGTTTTCTATCTCCTCATGCTACTTCTTTTCTTTTTCGATGCCTTATTGCGTCCTAAAATTGCATCATGCATTTGATTTCTCACTTACTGACATCTCCCCCCACAAGAATGCAGATATCACAGAGGAAAGATGATGTGTTTTTCAGGACACTACATCCCTCGTCCATAATCAGGGCTCAATAGCTGTCCGGTGAATGAATGACTTTAAATACCCAACGGATGAACCTGTGTTCCAGAATATATGTCCATCAAAGTAGCTGTTTGGGAAGAGAAACCACAAAATGACAAGGCACACAAACAGCTTTTGTGAGCTTACTCGCTCCACTTATTTACTTGGCTCAAATCATATTGGGGTATTTCTAAACCCAAACTCAAAAGTTAAAATTTTGCATTTATGTAGGAAGGTACTTTCTGGAGTAGTAAAAATATTTTATATTTTGATTGTGGTATATACATTTGTCAAAACTCATCAGTCATTTAAAATCTGTGCACTTTATTACACGTAAACTATACCTCAATAAAGTCAATCTAAGGAAAAAAATTAATTTAAAAAAGATTTTGCAAACATAAAGTATTCAAAAGTCTTCTGAAGCTTTGAAAGGAATTCCATGGTGGTTTTTTGTTGTTGTTACTGTTGTTGTTGTTGTTTTGTATCATGAACATTGACAACATCATTGAAATAAAGTTATTTATTCAATGGGCTCATTTTGAAAGGGTCAAAACCCAGATAAAGATCAAGAGTGTGTGTATGTGGGGGGCTACTATAAACAACTAAGGGTGTGTGTGTGTGTGTGTGTGTGTGTTACAACTACCCATGTCTTCAGGCACATCTTGTAGAAGGAAGCTTGAAGAGAAAGCTAATACCAGGGAACAACATTCTTGCAGGGCGTGGTGGGCAGGAAGTTCTTGGACTTCAGATGCTAATGCTTTAGTTCCATTCTTTCTCTAATCCTAAGGAACACGAAGAGGAAGTTCAGGGAGGAAGGAAGCAGGGAAATTGGAGTGGTTATGAAGATCCTTTTTCTAATAAAGAGAAATGTTTTTCCACCTGTGCCAAAGGGCTAAGAAAAGCTAAAAAGATGCTGAGATGCCACGTGAAGCTTCGGAGTGGGGCCCCCAAACCCAGCCATGCTTCAGAAATGTAAGTAATACCATGAAGGGAAAACCACAAGGACCAGGAGAGAAAGCTTCACAGCTCAGGATGAATGAGAAAGGGTCAAAGCGCAGCCTAGACCTGGTTTCCTTTGCTCTACATGTGCATGACCCTCTTTTCCAAACTAAACATTGGAACTATGATCTGAGGCATCTAATCACGGTTATAGGTAAGATAAGAAGGCAAATTCTTGCTGTTGAGTCGATCGGGTTGGACAGACAGAAGCCAGCTGCTAATACTTAGATAAGTTCCCCCGAAGACACCCCCACTAGGGAGACCAATCATATTAGGGAACCTAGAATCGCTAACCTTAGACTCACTTACAAGAGCTGAGAGTCTTTCCCCCTTGGCTCCACACGCGTAGTCACGCTCAGTACATCTGTGTGAGCTTTCTTCATTATAATGCTAAAGAGCACACCCAAAGGCAGAGGTTTAACATGCTTATGGGGCATGTGACACATGAAAAAGCATGTAGTCACACTGTGCAAGCGCCAAGAAACCTCCGCCTCTACACGCCTAGACATGGTTCTCTTCCTGCTTAGCACCTTTTAAAAACCCTGCCCCAGCTTCCATCAGAGAACCACCCGTTTTCTACTTCCCACGGTGTTGGTTTCCTTTTGCACAAGCTTGAGAAAACTTTCTCTTTGCCTATGTTGGTATCTGGCGATCTCTCTTGATTTCCATCCTGGGAGAGCGCAAGAACTCATGGCACCGGTAACATAGGGACGCTGGGCAGAAGTTCTGAAATGTGATCTTCATAGGGTTCTTACTTGTTTAACCACTGATTCTGCTGTCAATCAACATTGATTCTGTCCACATGCACCCTGGGGAAGGCGAAGCTCTGGGATGTGACATCTCTGAGATAATTTAATGTACTGAGGGATCCCAGGAGTGGGAAGAAAACCATTCGTGAGCAGGAGATGGGGCTGGACTGAGGCACAGGCTGTGACCTCCTAGTTTGGACAACTGCTTCTATCCATAAATGGCCGCTGTCAGCAACCTGAATGGAACTATTCTTCAGAAAGGAGGAAGAGAGAAAGGGAGGGAAGAAAAAGGAAGAAAAAGAGGGAGAGAGGGAGGGAGAGAGAAGAAATAGAAAAGAAGAGCCAGTGAAACCTTATTGTCACCTTCCCCAGCAATGCAGGGAGAGTTCAGTGTGTGCCGAGGGCCAATCTATATAGTTCTCTGAGTGAGGAAGGAGACTCCAAGGTGCCTGCCTCTTGCTTTAGATCATCCAACCTCTATGAGTCAAATCTGGCCCCAGAGTCCATTCCGTTCCTTCTGTCTCTAGGCTGGACCTGACTGCACCCAGAGAGGCAGGACCACCTCTGAGGCTCACACATCTCTTGGGACAACCCCATGGGTCTGAGGAATACTTGGCATTTGGAAGCTCTTTTTCACAGTCAACTAGAATCCCTTCTATGTCATCATAAATCCATTTAGACTTCTTTTCACTGTTTCATTGTCTTCCCTTTATTTTGAATCAATGTATTACATACATATATTTTAAAAATCAAGTTATATGGAAGGGCTTAGAATGATGAGGCTCAGCCCTGCATTCAGCTCAAGCCTACCACCAGTAGGGCAGGTCAAGGACCCACGAATCCTTCCCCAGAATGCATGTGGACAAAATCAGTGTTGGTTGACAGTAGAATCAGTGGTTAAACAGGTAATAACCCTAGGAAGATCGCATTTCAGAACTTCTGCCTGGTGTCCCTATGTTACCAGCACCGTGGGTTCTGTTCTTAGTTCTTCTGTTGATTACGTGCACACAACTCAAAACCATATGTTGTTCTACAATTTCTGGATTTATCAGTTTAGAACACATATCATTGTAGAAGAGGGTTCAGCTCTCCTGTCCTTAGATCTCCCACCCCTCTCTCTACTCCTCCCAACTTGTAATTGTCCTATTAGTATTTGTATCATTATTGTATCGCCTCACTTTGTGGCAAGCAACCTGGGAGTGAGGAGCGGGGTTTCCTCCTTGGTGTACAGATCCTCACGAGCCGACTTTTTCATCTACTCATAATCTCTCTCTCTCTCTCTTTCTTCTTTCTGTTATTGCTTTTTACGACTTTTTATTCATTAGTTTCATTATAATGAAAGTGTTGTAGATGAGGGAAGACAAACACGTGTTTAGTTGGCCACCTTGAATTATAAACCCAATCTATTTCCTGATGCTAAGTCTGGCAAACGACTTAATTCTGCCCCCTCCTTTCCAATGGGAAAACATAGTATATGCTTATAGGTGGACTAAGTAGTCAAACCAAAACGTGTACCCAAGTCCTTCTCCACAACCCTCTCTCCCATCGCCCTACACTCATGCATCCTAATACTTCATTTATTTGACTAGAATCTTCCAAAGTGCTTGTGTTACTGAACTCAAGGGGTTCAGTGCTTGGGGCGTTCTAGTCAAGAATGAGACATGACTATCACTGAATAGTTTTATTTACTTGTAGCAAGTAAAGGAGACAGAGGATTCATACCCAAAGCTCTGTCTCTCCGAAGGGAGGTTTAGCCATTGCTTATATAAACTATTTGGGTAATTACTGTTGATTTCTTCTTTGCAGTTATCAAGTTGGGTTCCTGTCACACTTATCCAGTTTACAACTGTGTCTGTAAAGTACTGTGTTGCAATACACTTTGCAAGAACAGCATTTGGTAAGAGCCACCCAGACCTTGAGACCCTGGTCCTAGCTAACAGTTGGCATGTCTCCAACAGAAGGCATGTGGTCAGAGAACGGTGCTGGCTCCCGGTGTCTCCCCATCTTCACTTATACTTCTGTTTTTCAGTGTCTCTACCCTCATAGCCCACTCCCAGTCCTGGTTGGCAGTTCACCAAATAGAGAACCAGGAGGTGAGGCTTGGGCCTCAAGAAGCCTTAATACAATGAGGCAAAGAGGAGAACTCAGAAAGGGTGATTTCTGGCTGCTTTCCAGTGGCCTCGGAGATGCAGGCATCTGAAAGGGGAGGCGGGTGCCTGGGATGGCTCCTTTGAGGCCCACCTGAGGGACTCTCAGAGCTGGAAGGGAGAAGGGGATACTTGTTCCATGTTCTGATGAAAGAAGAAAGAACCAAAGCAAAGACTCAGATGTGTCCTGGAATTACTTCACCTACGGAGCCAGTTTACCCCTCCCGTACCTTCTGCAGGGTGTGGCTTTGGATCCAAACCATGGCCAGGTGGCCCCAAAGGGGAATGTCCCTTTTAAGAAGTGATTCAGGAAATCAAATATGTTCCCATGCAGGAAGAATGCCTGAACAAGATAAAAGTTCAGAGATTCAAAATAGCCAGCCTAGGGTCAAAGTTGGTGGTATTCTTAGCAGCGATAATAAAAGGTATCTTTATATTATTATGTACTAGAAAAAGCCTTTAATAAGACAGGGTCCTGGGGGCTTGGGAAGTATAAAAATCAAAACACTCTAAGAAGAAAAACATAGACTTCCATCACAGCTTCCTTGTTCCCTAAAAGGGAAGAAGCCAGGCTGCAGAGTGGGAACTGGGAGGAGAGGTCAGTTGAACGAGACCCTTAACAGTTCTCTACTGCCCAGTATAATTGTTCTCTCCAACACCCGCTTGTCAGCCTCTACTGTTTACAAAGTGACTGACCTTACTGTCTGTCAGGGTTCTCCTCATATGACCAAGAAAGATCTCTCTTTGTGGCCTGTGAGAGCTGCTTCAGGGAGAGAGCTGGAGCCTCCGTGGAGGCCAGGAGGCCATAGGAAACCACAGCAGGCACAGAGGAGCACCAGGCTGAAGTCAACTCTCTCCTACCTTTCCACGGCCTGGGGAGGTCCCAGCCAAGGTGTCTCTCTCGGAGCCAGATCTCAAAGAAATTGGATTAGACCAAAATCTCTCAGCCATTTCTTAGTTAGTCCACTCAGCACAGATAAAACGTCACCTGAAGACCTCTCTGTAAGAAAAATTAAAATAGCCACTGGCAGTCTCAATCTACAATATTCTGTTGTTTTTTGTTATTTTGTGCATTTGTATTTGGTATTATTATGAGTTAGGAAAAAAGGCCTTTGAGAAGATAGAATCCTGGGGACCCTTAGAAGTATAAAGATCAAAACCACCTCTAAAGAAACACATGGATTTCCGCTGCAGTGTCCTTGTTTGAAGGGATACAGGGCATGTAAAAGAAAGTAGATGAGCTTTTCCAGCTCCTAACACTAGTAATCCTCAAACACTTTTAGTTGTGGTTGTTTGCATTTCGTTTTGTTTTCTTCCTAGTGGTGCGTGTCTGAAGCTCAGCCCTAGAGATGGAGAAGGCAGATGTCTGGATTGACCCGGTGACATTTGTGAGGAAAGACGAAATGAAAGAGCAAAGGGTGACAGACTATCTGAGGTGAACAGGATCTGCAGTCTGGGCTTTAGAAATAACAGATTTAAAAAAAAATTTCCGGAAGAGCTGAAACATGAGCACACGAGATCTAGACAAATTTATCTGATTAGCTAGAAGCATGGTGCTCAAGGTTTCCCAGAAATAGAAAAACTTTGAACCAAAATTATCATTGACATTTATATAAATATGTGTCCAAATTCTTCTTCAGAAATCCCCAATTCCTTTTTTTGAAATCAGAAAAACTTTCCTTCATGGAACAACACAAGTGCCACGTGTCTGTTTTTGGAGTTGGCACAGAGTAATTTGTTAGGTTGTAATAAGTATCCATTAGGAAAACTGCTCTGAATCCATTTATGGCAGGAAAAGAACATTCAGACTATATTAATATGGAAACGTCATCTATTTTATATTCTTCCAATTCTTTGCAGTAATGAGATGGGATGTTAATATTTTCCCTCGCCCTACCAAAATAGATTGTAAAGTCCTTGCAGAAATAGGTTTTTTTCCCCCTCTACTGTATCCCTTACTCTCCCCCAAAAAGTTCTGGAGGCTAGTAAATTACTTAGCAAAGCCTTGTAAACTTTTTCACTTTTGTCAGAATTATGCCCAGGGCCAACTCCCCATCAGAGCTCCCAAACATCCCCGTCTGGAGAAATGAAACTCTGGACCCATCTTAGATCTTGGTCTTGCCTGAATGTTAGCAGAAAAGAGAACAAGCGGTGACAGGGGAGGGTGTCTGGGTATTCCCCTGGGGCCACCAGTGAGGAGACAGAGGAGGGAACAGATGGGTGCCCTGGCAGGACGAGGAAGGAGGCCTCGCCCAGGAAAACCCCTGGCCCAGGCAGCCTGTATCCACACTCTACCAGCTTGGCCTCAGCAGCAGCAGCTCCGGGAAGACCATCTCACCGCCCCCCTCAGAGGCTGCTGTATTCTTGAGAAACCACAGCACACCCAGTCCGCTCTATGCCACAGTAGAGGGCTCTATGCCACAGTAGAGGGCTGAGAATAAAGCTTTGAGAACCTGCACTCGAGTCAACAACAGCCAACACTTGAGAGGAGAGTGAGCAGCCTGCAACCACAGCACACCCAGTCCGCTCTATGCCACAGTGGAGGGCTGAGAATAAAGCTTTGAGAACCTGCACTAGAGTCAACAACAGCCGACGCTTGAGAGGAGGGTGAGCAGCCTTCCCACCATGAGAGGCCAAGGTATGGACGTGTGTGGACGCCTGTTGACTTTGATCCCAGCCATGACGGTATGAGAGGCCAAGGTATGGACGTGTGTGGACGCCTGATGACTTTGACCCCAGGGCTCTGCTTATTGTCAGCACTGTCCCCTCTCACTGCTCTGATTTTAGAGACCCTCCTGAGGCTACAGCACTCTGGAGTTGCATAGACTTGCAACAGATGTGTGGTTCATCCTTCAGCCTACCGTTCATACCGCACGTGATCACAGAGATGGGAATCCTCTGTAACAGGCCTGTCACTGGCAGAGAACCATTTTCCTGCATGAGAACATTCTCACGCAGTGTCCTGGGCACCTTAGCATTCTCTTACCTGTGGAGGGACCCAGGATTCATAACCACAAGCTGTCTTTACTCCCTCCCAAGATCTTATTCCAAAATGGTATGGCAGTCCTCTAAAGACTCGGTCCCATGCGGAGCAGGGCCTTGGCAGCCAGGGTAAGATGTTCAGGAGAAAAAAAGAAAAGTCCGACCTGCAACAGAGCAGATGACCCCACACAGGGGCATACTTCTCTGTTCATTCCCCCTCTCTGTTTTTCTGGTGCAAGGTGGAAAGATAGGAGGAGGAAAAGGCTCTTTGTCCAACGTCTAAATTTCTATCTTTCATCAGATACCTCAAGAGAATGAAATGTCCTTCCTAAGTGCTAAGCTATGAGCGCAATTCCTGATTCCAGCACTTGATCTCCTGTCGAGTGTAGGAGGGTCATGTAACCTGGTAGTCTTGGTTTCCCCATTGACTGATGACAGTCAAAATACCCAGGATATGGATCCAAAGGATTACGCGGCCTGCAGATCACTCTGGGCAGAGAAGCAGAGACATCTGTCCTTACCATGCCCCCTAGGCCTCCACTTTACCTCCCACAACCCCCTCTCCCCTCCAGGCCCGCAGGGGGTCTCTCGGCGCTCTTTGTTATGGTCCTCATGACTGATCTCATGTCCATCTCTACACTCTTCCCTCTGCCTCTGAAGCTCAAAGCAAAATGCTGAGCACATTCTTTACCACCTACGCTGCCCTTACCCTGCGTGCAGGGTATTATGGGTCGATTCATGTCCTCCAAAAAGATATGTTGAAGCCCATACTGCTAGTACCTGTGAATGTGACATTATTTGGAAATAGGGTCTTTGCAGATATAATCAAGTTAAGGTTGGGTCTTATTGAGAAACTCTGGAAACAGAGAAACACAGGATAACAGAGGCAGAGAATGGAGTGATGTGTCTACAAGCCAAAGATTTCTGGCAATCATTAGAAGCATAGGGAATATGCTCTGTGATCTCCTCGGCCCAGACGTCCTCGGCTGATTCTACCAGAAACCTGTTTCACTTTTCCTAGACCCACCACATTTCCTCCTCCAGCTCCAGGGAGAGTCTGCTTTCACCTGCTCTCCAGGTGACTGAGGAAATGGGTTGCTTTATTTTTCAGTTGTTCAAGTCCCTCCAAATTCACCCAGCTATTTCCTTAATTCCTCTGTTACTCATTTACTGTTCATTGTGGACAAACACTGTGACAGCCAAGGCCTCCTGTGCTAGTCACCCACTTCCTGTCTCACCTCCACTCCCATCCTCGTCTTGCTTTTGGGCTCCACTTTCTGCCCTGGGTGTCCCCTAAAAGTCAGCTCTTCTGACTTTTAGCCACAGTCGAAGGGTCCTGACTGCTCATGTTTCAAGAGAATTTTCCCCAAACACATGGGCCTCTCCTATGTGTGACCCAAATAGTTACAGGAAGCCCATGTGAAATGGAGGGGGCCTCCCTTCTCTCCATAAGTTAAAATTGTTTCCCCTCCTTCCTTTCAATGTTGTCAACGCTGTCAAGTAGAACGCCCTGTCTTCTTGGAGAATTCTCACAAGTATCAGAGAGTCAGTCTGCAGGCATTTCTCCACAGGTCAGAGATTGTCTGCTAACCGATTTTTCTAGAACTTACAGAGGACAGAGTGCTACACTGATTCACTTTTCCAGACTTTTCCTTTTCCAGATTTACTCTAAACTTGTGCCTGCCAGCATGCACACCTTATTCTAAGAGGCCTCCTTACCATGCATGGCTGGCGTAGGGAGGCAGCAGCAGCACCCCTGTCACATTGAACTTGTATCTATGCCTTGAACACATGCCTCTTCATCCAGGTTCCGACTCCTCGTGATGCTGCCCTCTGCCTAGAACTCCCTCCCGCCCCTCCCTCGCCTCCTCGCCAGCCTAGCTCTGACTCCCTTGTCAAGCTCTGTTTGAACATCACATCCTCAGGAAGCCTTCCCAGTCCCTTATCTAGACTACTCCCCTGCTGACATACTCCTGCGGGAACCTGGAGTCTTCTCTAACGCCATCACACTTGTGATTCTAGGGCAGTCGTGGTTATATGGGGCATCCACTCCCAAAGAGCTCACTTAGTTCAAAACACACACAACTCAAGACTTGTCCTTCACTGGGTGCTGTGTCTCCTGTGACAGCTGAAATGATGCTTCCCTCTGGCACAGGTGCAGACAGAGTTTACAATTCCCTCGGCCTGCTGACTTTGAGATTTTACTGGGGGCTCTGTGTATGTTTGTGTGTGGGTGCATTATTGCTGATTTTGCCCAGAGGAAACATTTGAAATAATGTGATAAGCAAATATTTATTGAATATCATTATGGGGCAAGCACATTCTAGGGGTGACCAAGGGCCAAACAGGGCTAGACCCCTCTGAGGCAGTGTATTAATAAGATGAGGCATG